GGGGCAAAGGAGGTGAGGGGGTGGGGGCAGAAAGAGGAGACGAAAGCAGACAACAAAACTTTGCTAGAGAGCAGGAAATGAGGTGAAAGGAGACAAGTTTAGAGAAGAAAATGTTTCGGTCGCTACCCGGATTCGAACCCGGGACCTTTGAATGAGAGGCCAACACCTTAACCTCTAGGCCACGAGAGCCTCCCTTAGGGATTGGCTTGAGGTCTCTGTCAATGTTGACTTTTTCCTCCCTAAACTTGTAATTGTAGGAAATGCTCCCAGAGAGTCGTTCATCTCTGTGTCAGCCATTCCTTCACCTTTTTTCTTTATGTACCCAAGTGGACATAGATCTTGCTATCTTGCCAACAAGACTAATAGTTTTTGTTGTTTTGTTTGAGTTTATTGGTTGGTTTTTATTTTTATTTGTTTGCTTGTTGTTGTTTTTGTCTTGGGTTTTTTTTTGGGGGGGGGGTGTTGTTTTTGCTTCTTTTTTTGTTGTTGTTATTTTGTGTGCTTGTTTGTTTGGTTTTTTATGGTTGTTGTTGGGGGGGTTTTGGGTGTGGGTGTGTGGGTGTTTTTTTGTGGTTTTTTTGTTGTCGTTGTTGTTTTTCTATTCCCTCAAAAAATTGAAAAATGTAGAAGCGTGAAATCATATTTTAAAATCTTCACCAAAAAAAATAGTGCAATTTACTCTAAGTTACGATTAATAGTGTGTTCTTAACTGAAAGCGGAGGATGGATCACCACGATTGGAACTAACCTTGACTGACCACCTGACCGCTGTGGGAGTGAGTCTGCTTGTTTTGACCCAACAGTGAGTGAGTGTTGCTTTGCAGTGGATTGTTCACACTCACACGAGTTCCCAGCTAACACACACGGAAGATTTTGCTTTCCTTCACGTCTGGATGCACCCCATGACTTTCACACTACTACGCCACGCAAGACTGGCGTGTCACGCGCTTCCTGCTCACAGCTCAGCTCACGGGACTAACAGTAACACAGTAACACAGTGTGTGTTTGCCGAGTGTGATGGGACGTGCACAAAAATTGATGGCGTCAGTTCCCCTCTACGTACGCCTCGTCTTCTGAATTTCAGACCCCATCCGGGCTTCGATACGACGGATATTCCCACACCGACTGCAGTACCGCGGTTGGTGTCTGCTGCTCTCAGCGACACGGACAGAATTCACAGCCGTCGGTCGTCGGTGGTGGGACCTGTTCAACAAAGACAGAGGGCCAAGTCTGCCACGCCAACGTCCAGGCGGAGCAGCGTCATCAGCGGGAAGTCAGTAGACGCGAAGGATAAAGGGGAGAAAATCTTCACGTACTCCAGCAAGGTCTGGTTGCTCTCCAGCGCTGTGAAGTATCAGAGGCGGCCATCGAGAGACTCGGCGGAAGGAGGAGGAGGAGGAGGAAGAAAGAGAGGAGG